TTATACATTAGTGTTCAGAGAGATTTTATTCAGAGTTAAACTTTATAACTTTCCTAGAAGCACAGAGAACCTTGTTTCTTGCTCATTCAGAACCACCCCCCCCACACTGTATTTTGCAGAAATACTCGTAGGAACAAAGTCTAATTAACTTCTAGCGTATTAGCTGTGCTGGTTTAAAGGTAAACCGGTGGGGAAATGAACTCAACTCAAAAGAGAGATTATAAATCAGAATAATAATTTAATAATATAATACAATAAATACGATTATACAGACAAACAGTTGTTTTTAACCCACAAAACCCAAACATATAACCCACCACCCTGGGGCATGAACAAAGTGGTGTTCATTGGGCCCCCTGAGTCCAAAGCAAAAGGAGAGGGAAAAAACCTGTTGGTGAGAGTGCTGTTGCAGTCTGGTCAAGAGTGGTGATTGCAGTGCAGTCGAGAGTGATGGTTGCAGTCTGGTTGAGAGTGGTGGTCTGCAGTCTTCCTCTGGATCCCATGAGGGATTAAAAAAGTCCCAAGACTCCAAGATTATATATTCTCCAGTTCAGGCAGGAATGCCCAGTACCTCCCTCAGGGCGGGGAGTTCCACAATGGGTGTGAGGACAGGAGCATCCTCCTATCTCACAGGCCTCTTAAGACCCAGTTTATAGCCTGAGGAGTCAGGCTGTACTCTGGGCAGATGGTGTAAATGGTCTATTGATGACAGTTCCTGGAAATGGCATGGAAGGCTATAGAATACACAGATTTGGGTTACACCCATACAGTGATGAACTGGTCCCAGGTGTTCTAACTAGGACATTAGCAAACTAGTAGAATGGAATACTTAATTCAAGCAATTCTTTCTCTCCCTCCTTCCCCCCACCCCTAATGCACTCATGGTAGTCTCAGTTTCAAACATAAGATAAATGCACTTCACTCAATTAGGTGTTCGTGAAACTTAAGATTCCACTTAATCATGAGTTATGTTATTCCCTCAGGCCCAGGAAACACATCAGGTAAACCTTATCTAGAACAGTGAAAATCCATTGCACACCCTTAGCATCAGTTTGCAGTTTGACTATAGCATCAGCTGTAATGAAAAGCAAATAAAAAGCTGCCCATTTAAAAAAAAATGTTGGTTTCCCAAACTGTCACAATACATAGTTTTATACATTTGTGTTGAGGAGTCTCTTTCCCTGGAGATATTCAAAAGGCATCTGGACATGGTCCTGGGCAACTGGCTGTTGTGACTCTGCTTGAACAGGGAGGTTGGACCACATGACCTCCAGAGGTCCCTTCCAATCTCAAACATTCTCTGATTCTTTGAAGCACAGTTTAATAGACAACAGAATAAGGTTTTGCAACGCTGAGACTTTAATTATATTTTGGACTTCGTGAGACTAATTTTAATTTACTCAGTTTCCCCACCATTCTGTACTGTTTATAACTTATCCTCAGCACTGGAGAGAATGGACTGATTTATACACAATGTTTTGACTGGACCTACTCCACTCTGTCTGCTTCAGAAAGCCAGTGAGACTCGAGGACTAGACTAAAGGACTAGACCTCATTCTTATATAATGATCCTTCAAGGAATGAGGGTCACAAGAACCACAGACACAGAACTTGCTTTTAAGAGGAAAAGCAGTGCTCACAGCAAGCTACAGTGAGACAAAAGTGTGAATCACTGAAGATATGCAGGAGGAATTAAATTTGCTAGAAGTGGTTATTGCTGCGGAGGGAAACGTATCATAATTTTCAGAAAGGAATGGAGCTGTTTGCAATTCAGAGGCACTACTAAATGGGACTTTGTTCTAAAAAAGTTGTTCTAACTGTCTATACTCTAACCTTGTTTCATTTTCCAACAGTGGAGTCCCTGCCTCAGAATGGATTTATATGAACAGTTAAGCCCCTCGATGCTCTGACACTGGCAGAGCAAAGATGCAAACCATTGGTAAAAGTACTCAGGACAGTAGTTACTACATCCTTAACTTGGTTCCCATGCCTAATTGCACAAAGACCTCAAGGAAGCCAGGGGAAGATTAGTTTCAAAACAAGGATGTTCAGAAACTAGGTAGTTCGCCTGGAGTGCAGCAAGAAAGCTTCAGGAGAAGAGACCGAAGACCTGCATTTTGCTGCATAATGTAACACTAGATGAGGAGCTGAGACACCTAGGATTGAATTTATGAACTGTCTCTCTGTGTGGTCAGGGCTATTCATGTCCTTCTTCCTCTTCTTGGGGGAGAAGTCAAACTGCAATTCATCATACAAAGGGAAAAACAAGGTTTGCATAGAGAAAGATGCATAAGAGAGACACAGAGGTATCTTTGTGTAATGCATAGTACAGTTGGTTATATTGAAACATTCACAATTTGACTAAAATATAAATTGACAAGGTTTAAAAAATAGAGGGGAAAAGGTCAGAGGTGGACTTAAGCTAGAACAGACTTAAAATTCTCTTTCAGTGCAGCAATTTTGTCAAGCTGAAGTTTCCCATGGGCGGTTTTACTGTGTAGAGGCATTGCTTTAGATAAATGCTCCTTAATTCAGGTAGACAAAAATTAAGAAGATGCTAGAAGCAATCTTTTCTGAAGGGACATCCTGATTTATCTCTTATTGTTCTTGGCATAAATGCCATTTGTTCTTTTCTCAGATACTCTGAATAGCTGAGAGTCACCTAATTTTATAAAGGGGTTTATGTAATTTAAACTACAGCAAAAATGAGAAAAAGTCTTGAGGGTTTGAATTTTCCTGTGTTACTTAAACTGAATCTAAAATTTCAGATGTAAATCTTATCACTTCCTCTGTTTGTAAAACTCACCTGCATCAACAGTGGCAACACTGTCAACATGGAGACACTGTCAGTGCTTAGGACCAGTCAGACCCTCACTGGTAATGCTCTCTATCAGCATGCCCACCAGATATGCCATGAACACAGTTTTTTTATGCTGAAACAGATGCGTTGTAAATGTCATAGATCAGAGCTTATTTAACAATTTTGAGGCAAACCCAAGGAACAATAAACACTATTTGTTCCTTTTTCTCAGGAGGAGAATAAGACTGCTTCTTTGTAAATGACTTACAAGCATCCCAAGAAAGTATTAGAGGGCATGTGATCCCATGTTTTTCTTACTTCACACAAGTTCCCCCCTTTCTCTGTGTTTCTCAAAGTTCATTGCTGATGAACCAGGAAATAGAGGAGAAAGAGCAGTAAATGCAGATTAAATTAATAGATTAAATAGATTAATTAAAAATAAAATAATAGATTAGTAAATGAAAACTTTCTTCTTCTTCCTCAGAAACTTTTCTTCAGAGGAATTTGGGTGAATTGATGAGAAGTCCTTCTAGACACAAGACTTTGGCAGAAGTCATGATCTGTAGGACCAAGTGGAATTCAGTAGGATTGAAACTGGAAGGACTGATTTCTGATCCTGTCCCGGTATGTCTGAGAAATTAGTGAAATCCAAACAATGGTTTGCTTAGATTCTCCTCCCATTCTGTTTCAGATTTATCCTGAAAAGGGGAAAAATCTATGCTGATGGGAGAATTCACCAGAATTCTTAATTTCAATTTTGCAGAACTTAATTTTTTTTCTTCTGTCTAAGAAAGAATGGAGCCCCTACAGATGTAATTAAAAAAAATTAAATATATAAAAGTAGGATATTTTCTTCGTCTACATTTTTTTCTCTGTGGTATAGTATAAGAAACACATCAAAAAACTTGACATTTGTGTAACCCTGGAGATGTCAATAGCATTTCACAGTTCTCGTATAACACAGAATTTCATTAAAAATGTTTTACTGAAATGATGCCAGGATGCTTGTATCTAAAACCATATTTTTAAAAGTTTTTTGATTAATCTATCTGTAACAGTTATGTCTGTAAAATCAAGGTACAATCCCATAACTGAAAAAAATGCTTACAAATAGAGCTCTGAGATTTGTTAAAATTGAATACTTATAGTACTGCATTTACATTTATGAACAATATCTTTACACTGAAAATTCGTTTGAATTAGTAATTTTATGTTTTCATTACATGGATTTAAAGACAGAAAAAGTTTCACATTAATTGCTATAGTTCTCCCTGTTCTGTATTCTGATAGAGCATTAAAAAGAACCAATACTTCTCAAATGGCATGGATTCAAGAAACTTCATAATTCAGAAATCACACTGAACTTCTAGTTCACTGCTCCTCACAAAACACTGCCTTACTTAATCTATACTTTTCAGCAAAGTTATTCCTGTTTATACTGTGTGCTTACCTGGGACCTCTCATTGACAATACTCTGGAGATGCATCTGCTTTGTTGAGAATTTAAATATAAAAAGAATGATCTATTAAGTGTTAGCATTGCTAATGCACCTTATACCAAGAACAGCCATTTTAATGTAAAACCAACAGTAGCATGAAAAACTGCAGCATGGTGTTACCTATATGATAACTTCAGAAATGGGCCTTGGAGACTCAGACTGGCATTATTCACTTATGGAACTGAGTACTTACTTGATATAGAATACCAAAAGGAGTGATCATCATTAAAACATTCAGGAAATCCTTCTACAGAAGTCACAGTTCTGAAATCTTCTTTATCCATTTGGTACTTGGAATATCATTGGCTGTAGTCTATGCTTTCTAGTGTGCAATCCCTGTGAACATTTATGTGCATCTACTTGCCAGATCCAGGCTAGAATTCTTTAGGCAAAATAACATCACTTATGAAAGGGCATGTTTTAGTTAATTTAGAAGGAAGAAACGAAATGAGCTGAAACATGATCTTTCTGCGTGACACAGAATTCAAATACATACCAAAGAAGAACAACCTCTCTCTTATTGCTGTTTAAACATGTAATATAGGCAGAGAAAAGAGCAATTTATTTTTGACAATGAATGCAATAGATGTACTACAAAGGGATACACTATTAATACCATACATCCAGTAACATTTGTGAAAAACAAGGTTATGAGAAATCAGACGACAGTCAAAACAATACCAAATCACATCTGACTCTTACCTTAGAATTTTATTGATTGCCGTCTCTTTTTCCAGAAGATTTCTTGCTCTGATGCTGAAAACAGATTTACGGAGCTATAAAATTAAGAAAAAGACAGCGTACTTTTTAATTGTCATAAAATATAGCATGTATGTGACAAACCAATGAAACATTATGATGTTGAGTGCATGTAAAATTAAAGACATAAGGTTCTCTATGATAAAGCTATTTTTCACAGTCTGCATCATGGGTGTTCTTTCCCAGGAAAAGGATGGCAGAAAACCTAAAAATGTTTACACAGAGCAAATTCCTTGAGGAATATCTAAGATCCTAGCCTTATCTTGCAGCTTTTGGCCTCTTTACCCCAATCCTGAGGTAGTTCTGTGTAGAAAGAAGCAGAAAGTTTTGTTGACTAGCACAAATGTTATTTCCTTTATTACACATTTCTTCTCCAGTTGGCCAAGTCATGCCTTTTTGCTACTCATTCTCCACTTTGGATTTTGACTAGGCTGGATTGTACTCTGGAGATGCCTTGACTATACAAAAGAGCCAGCTAACAAAGCTTAGATATATAATTTAAGTGCATAGAACTAGATAAGATGAAAGTAGGCCCCCTTTTTCCCCCACAGATGTAGAGCAAAAAAGTGTGGTGAGCAAAACGTGCTTGTGCTTGCCTCTGGTCATGAACAGTGTTTCGGGCATATTCTTGTGAACAGGACTTCCTGAATGGGAAATGAAAGGACTGAGATACATGACAAAACAAGCATGCACTTACTAAGCAAGTGATTAACAAATATGGCAACTCAAGGAACAAATAACAGCTGAAGAATTTAGGTCAGGAATTACACCTGTGATGAACAGAAAGCCCGTGGCACCTTGTAAGACTTAAATCTGTCAACTGTTTGGAGATTGTTATTGTGAAGAAAATGGTTGAGAGAGATTTGGAAACTCCTAGCAATGTTTGCCCTGTTTTTGATCAATCTGAAATGGAATCTTTAAGCACATTACTTTAAATCTTCTTTACATGTTTCTAAAACACTACCTCCAGCCATTTGACAAATAATTTTTCTAGAACTTCTCTCAAGACTTGGATTGACTCTGAGTCACAGTTAGATATCTTACTTTGAAGAGAAACAGAAGCCTAGAAAATACCTAAACTTTTAAATTGTACCGGCTGTACTTAATTAAATGGCTACTGCTTTTAACCCACACCTGCAAGCTACAATCTCATTCCTACCCTTTGTCTTCTCAAGCATGGCCCCTTTAACCTTTTTCATGCTCTAACCCATCTCTGTACAGCCTGTGGAAGTAAGAACACAGATTATTTGAAAACACCCCTATTTTGAGAATCTGTGGCTTCCTTAAAAAACCTGCAACTTGAAAACTGAAAATACTTGAGAAGGTAGTTTGGAAAATAAGGTATTGGATTTTCAATTAAGATTAAAAAATTAGTAATAGGCTTGTTGAATGTAAACAAAAAATGATTCCATTCCCTGGATATGGTTCCCATAAATATAAATTGAAAATCAATGTATGAGATATACCTGTTGAGGAATATATTTAGTGCAGGTAGCTCAGTGTGAAGCTGCAGATTGAGCTCTGTCTGGGTGATGAGAGCCCAAGGCAAGACGCTGTGAACTGTTGACCCTTTGCCTAACAAGGGCACAGGGACCTGTGGCCCATCCAGGGGACCAGACACTCAGCGACATAGCAGGAGCTGATGACCCCCAGACTTTTCTGTTCTTAGACTGTTAGGGTATAAGCGCCCAGGGGTCCCTTTGTTGAGGATTCCTCCTCAGAGACACCAGCACAAGCTGTTATTTTGTTATTTAGTTATTACACCATCATTAAATTATTTTAAGGATCTGTATGTCTGAGACTCTGCTACGGGAAACCTGGGGTCGAGGTGGTCAGGAAACCTGGTCTGACTGTGAGTGTGGGGGGTGTAGCTGTGAAGGGGCCTCGGTCCCAGCTCAGATGGTGCCACAGTCTGACTGCCAGAGTGGTTCCTGGATGGTCAGACAGGCAAGTTTCCTTAACATACCATTATAATAAATATTGTGTAGGCATAAATATTTCATATACTGGAACATACTTGTCTAGGTTTTAACTCATTTGCAGTATCTCAACACAGGTTTAGTGGATTTATAAGCAAGGTACTTTATTATGGATTTAGATATAACTAACAGTGCTGAAAGCACTAGCAACTCTTTCACATATTTTTTTTCTTCTAATGTCAGTGAAATTAATGTCAGTGGAATCCCATAAAACTGTTTTTGCCCACTTGAGGATTGCAGAAAGAAGCCTCCAAACCACAGGAGTATCTATTTTACAAGATGCTACATAATAATTCTTTTAGGGCTCAACTAGGAACATCAAACTTATGAGAATAAGAAAAGTGGAAAACCAGCAGTTTTGTTTCAGTTGCTTTTTCCTGTTATAAATAATTGCTTTAGAATAATTGCAATTACAATAAATATCAGAGAAAAAATATGTGCTGCCTACTAATGTGTTATGTCCATTTATTTCTAATAAAAATTCTTGTTAACATCTTAGAAATCAAAAAGATTTTAAAAAGAGGAAGCATTAATTTCCTTCCCAATTTCCAGTTTTTGCTCATCTGATTTTGGCCAAAAAGCTGAGGCAAACACATTTTCCTGAAATTGTCTACAGGTCCCTATCTGGCATAGGCCACTTTTCAGTGTATAAAGTAGGTGACAAAACACCTTGGCATTAAAGCTTGTGGCCCAAGCAAGGTTGTCAGCAAGGGAACATGTCCTAGGAGAGCAGAAGTGAGGGGTCTACATATTTTCAGACTCCAAAAGGATGTTGAGCACTTGAACTGATTCACTTAGTGCTTCCCCAAGCCAAGCATTAAAACAGTTAGTGCCAGCAAGGAAAAAAGAACACCTCAAGAAAAGGTGCTGTCAGGTCTAGGGCAAGGGCTACTTACATACTATCAGGAACTGCCGAACCCGCCCTCTAGGTAGCAAGACTAACAAAGAAGGAAACAGTGGTGTATGTTTTGCATAAAAGCATAGCACTAAATCTCTTTCATGCCTCAGCTGGAAATGGCTTGACTCCCTTTTTCTGTTTTCTTCAATGAACAAGCTTAGCTGTCTGCTGGAGATGTGCAAGAATAGTGTCGCACTCTGGTATGTGGCCGCCACATAGCCAGAGGTGCATAATCCACAGAGCCAGAGAGATGAAGAGAAGCAATAGGAAGGAGCCCGTGTCTGGAGACACTGAGATAGGAAAGAAAAGACTGGGTTCTAGTTCATACACCCAAAGCTGTTCATGAATTTTATTCAGTGATGCTTGAACAAATAATCACAGAATCACAGAATACGCTGAGTTGGAAGGGACCCACAAGGATCATTGACTCCAACTCCTGGCCCTTCTCAGGACAGCCCCAAGAATCACACCACGTGCCTGAGAGCATTTTCCAAATGCTTCTTGAACTCTGTCAGGCTCGGTGCTGTGACCACTTCACTGGGAAGTCTGTTCCAGTGCCCAGTCATCCTCAGGGTGAAAAACCTTTCCCTAATATCCAACCTAAACCTCCCCTGACACAACTTCAGGCCATTCTCTCAGGTCCTGTCACTGGTCACCAGAAAGAAGAGATCAGTGCCTTCCCCTCCTCTTCCTCTCATGAGGAAGTTCTAGACTGCAATGAGATCTCCCCTCAGTCTGCTCTTCTCCAGGCTGAACAGACCAAGTGACCGCAGCTGGTACTCATACGGCTTCCTCTCTATGCCTAAGAAGTCATGAGAATGGAGAAAGGGATCAGAACACAGGGTGTTACACCATGTTATTTGGGCAGAGTACATTTACTTTTGCTGCACTTTTTTTCACAACTAGCTGTGAAATTTGCACCCAAAGCACCCCAAGGACATCCTTGGGCACCAATCTTGGTCCATACCTAATGGACTGTGGCTTAGGTGAAGTTTTGAAGGTTTGTAACCATCCTGTTTGCCTTATGATTTTTGAAGCTAATGGTCCTCATTTCTCTTTAGGATTTAGGAGCCCTTCCTTCAGCAGAACCCTGGTGAATTTATCTTGAGCAGCAATACAAGACAATATTTTTAGCACAACTGATCCATTTCTCATATTTAAAGGAGTCAGCAGTCAGTCAAATAGCAACACATATGTCAATATTCATGCTGAAGAAAATCAAACAATACTATAGATTTTTAAAATATGTATCCTTACTTCTATATTAGATAAATAAACTAAACTGTTCCCCATTTAATTTTCCAAATTTGCATAGCACACCAGGCAAGTGCAATGGAACTGTACAAATGGAAAATGTGGACGATGATCAGTATTTTGTTTAATAATGTCTAGATGCCACATGCTGGTGTAGAATGAGGCTGGCAATTAAAACTTGTGATACCTGCCGAGTTCTTGAATTTTACAGAGGAAATTATGAGCAGTGTTAATGTATAAAAGACATTACTCAATCAGATGATGTGGAATTAAATAAATACAGTACACTCTGCTGAGGTTATTTTAGGGATATCTGTTTAGCCTGCTGGGTTTTTTTATTACAGACTGTGCTGCACTGCGAGGACACCCTCAGTGTATCTTTATTAGCCTTTCTTTCTTTCTTTCTTTACGTACTTCTTTATGTAACCTATAAGTACACTCAGTGCAGAAATAACAGTGCCATACAGCTTTCTGCTATAGAGCATTATTTTTTAGCATATGACACTGTCCTGAAATCACCTAACAGCATCTGATTACTTTTAGATATGTTTTCAGCAACACATTTTAAAGAACTCTTGCAGGTTACTTTAAACTGTAAGGAATCACTGTGGCAGGTCAGCAAATTACCAGTAGTATTTCCTGGATGAAAGGTGTTAGATGGAAAGTATGTGCTTCTATGAAACCATGAATAAAGTTCATGTCTTGGTTCCCACACTCCTTTATTTGCACACACATGCCCGTAGATAGAGGATTAGGAAATCTGCAGGTAGTGCTTCTCTTCCACAAGTGCTGGCACCCTTCTCTGCTGCTGACTTTCAGGCACAAAAAATTACTCAGTCAAGTCAGTGTGAACTTGGTCTGAACACTACACCCTATGAAATCCCAT